CTACATTATTTTATTTTAGAGAGTGAAATTAAATATTTTATAATAAATTTATTGTATGGCTAGGAGAAAAACTGTCAAACGTGCCTAAAAATCTCACAAGCATTTATTTTCAAGAAATAAAAAGATTACAAAGACTTAAAAAGAGTAAAATAAAATTCCAGGATGGAACAAAAATATTTCATTTACTTAAAACTTAACTAACTTGGGAATGAATATAGGTTTTTAGATTAATTAAAAAATAACTAATGAATTAAAATAAAAGGAATCAGCCCCTGAACAATAATACATTGAAGCAGAAGAAATATCTATAGATTAAATAAAAGAATTGTAAAGATAAGCAACATAAAAATTATAACCAGAAGAAGTAGAAAAAAAGAAAAATAAAGTCCGAATGAATATTGATGATGAATGGGCAATAGAAGCACTAGTCAAAAAATATAAATAGGATTGGGAATCTATGAAAAGAGATCATAAATTAAATACATTTTAATGGACTGCAATTTAATGTTAAAAAAAATATAATGATTACATTAAAAGATACGGTAAATGCCCTAAACCATAATAATGATTGTAGAGTTAAATTTATATATATATATTTATAATATGGTTAAAATCTAAGATTTTGTTAATAAAATAATATTCATTATTTATTAATTTATTACAATAGATCCTCAGAGTCTCTAAGTACATTTTAAATTCTATCAAAATTGTTGTATTATTGTTTAAAATTATCTATTGGGGCTTATTTAGTTTGATTTGGTTACTGAGTTTAAGAATACATCAAATTAGAAGACTTTAATGGTAAATTTGTTATTTTGTGGGGTTAAATTGGTGTAGTGAAGTTTTAATTTTGAGTCTAGGTTTAAGGAATTGAATTTATTTGTTAATTTGGTAGATTAAAATTGTAATTACTTGCCTAATAAGGTACATTTTAAAGGGGAATTTAAAAATGATATTATTAGTTTTAGGTATCAATAGTATATTCTGTTGGGTTTACATGATTGGAAGGGTTTATTGTTTTGGCTGTTCTATTTATAATTTAATTAGGATTAATTTAAGGTAAACTTCCATATTAAATTTCTGCTTTCGGTATTACTACCGATGGTTAGATAAATTTAGAGCTTATTGGCATTATGGATGTTTTTTACAATAATGAAGGATCAATGGGTTAATCTAGAATAGTAGGGGATGGACCTACAATAACATTAGAACTGCTTTAAATTTAAGGTGATGCCTAATTATGAGATTACGATCCATAGATTATAGGAGATGTTTATGGGAAATGTGATGGGATATGTTATTATGGTTATTAAGTTGATGGTACTAATTATGATTATAATAGTATTTTTTAAAGTAATTTAGGTTATTAATTAGGTATTGATAATTATTATTGATTAACACATATATCTTAAACTCTAAATTAAGGTTCTTTTTCTTAGGGGAAAATATCTTATCTTGCTATTTTATATGAAACTGTATCATTATTTTAGTGATTAATTCTAGATTAAGATCTTTCTGATTCCAAATTATTGAATAATTTTGGTTAAATTTATTATTTTAATTATTAAGTTTCTACCTTGATTGATTATTATTAGTATTATTGAGTTTCATAAATAATTTCTGACTATGCTCTTTAATGTTATGATGATTTAGTTAGATGAGTATATCTATGTGGAAAACTTTCAATTACTGATTTACATTTCAAAGTATTATTCAAATGAAGTGATTGTTGTTTTACTTCTTCATATAATATCTTAAAATCTTAAAAGTTGATAATTTTATTATTATATGGCTTTAGGATATAATAAACATCATCTATAATTAATTAATTTTCTGATTCTGACATAAGTAACTCCATAATTCGAATAAGTTATATTGAATAATGATTATAGCATTAATTTTACAATTCTATAATTTGTTATTCATCAATATTATTATTCAAATTTAGTATCATCAAATCTAGCATAGTTTGGCCTAAAGCATAAGCATCAATTAAATTCCATTAGATTTTTGGCTGCTAATTTTGTGATAATTGTTTTTTAAGAGTAGGAGGGATGGATGATTCTAATTTATTATCGATATATTTATTGATTGAATTGTCTTAATCAAGTAAAATACCTATAGGACATAACTTTATTTATCCATTTGATTTTAAAGCAATTGTAGCTGGTCTTAAATCTTTATGATAGTATCCTTTTTACTTTAAATCATATAGAGCTTAGGAAATTGACCATAAAAAATACCAAATTTCTTTTTCAGAAAATGCTTCTTAATGTTACTTTCTCTATAATATTTCTCTAATTTAATAAAATCAAATACTTTTCTAAATTATGAGGTATGTATTCAAAATAACTTAAAATAATTGAGGAGGTTGAACATATTTCAGAAGTTTACTTTTCAATACTTCCAAAATAATCTATAATGTATGGAGCTTAAATTTTTTTAATCATAATCTATGATTTTTACCAAGGTTCATCGGATTCATGATTGAAAATTCTATATGGGATTTCAATAACCATTTCTTGATTTGCCTCATTGACATAGATTTATCCACTTTAAATTTCATTTTTTGATTCAATTGGTTTGAATTGGCTTGAGAATGTTTTAAAGAATAAAGAATAATTTGAGTTTGTTTGCAATGATTCGGATTATCCCATATAATAATCTCAAATAAATTTTATTTTTTTAATTTACAACCTTTGTTCAATCATTTTTTACTTAATTTTAATAATCAATTTATAAAATTGTATAAGGTTTTTTTTGTTTTGATTTTTGTTTATTATTTGGGAAAGAAATAAATATTATTAAAGGATTTTAACAGTTTTAAATTAATACCTGATGATAATCAAAAAAAAATATATATAAAAGATGAAAATTCAAATATATAGAAACATGTATAATGAGATGGATTATGATATTGGATGGACATACAACTTATTGAATTTATCTTTTAAATTAATGTAATAGAAAATTGTTATATTATTATATTAAAAAAAATTGAAATGAATACAAAGGGCAAAAGGACTTTAGGTACATGTTATAAAAATATGATAGGTCCAATTTAAAAAATATATAAGCCATCAATAGATTATGAGTCAGCTCTGAAGGAACATCGAGAAGTGGAGGAAAGAATAAAAATGGAAACTGATACTTAAGATCCAAGGTATAGAGAGTATTGAATATATAAAGGAAATTAGTAATGAATCTATTGAATGATCGTGATAATTCATTAGTAATAGAGAACTCTCTTATTCATTCTTAGGTGGTTACAAGAAAGAGAGTATTTTCTTAAAAAATTAATTTAACAGGTTTCCATTAGATCAAGATAGTTGAAGAGTTAAGTGCCATATATGTAAGGTCATGTAAGAAACAATTCTTTAATTTAATATGCATCTCCAGCATCAAGTTTAAAATTTGATTTTGATTTGAAACCAGATTTCAATTCGAAACGATCAAATTTTATTCCAAGCTTTATAAATTAAGGAAGTAATTTTGATGTAGGAGTACGTGGAACACTTGGAGAAGAATTTACAGAATTTTAGATGTGTAATAAATTGAATTGAATAATTTAGATGAAAATGATTCATAACCAGAAGAGATTCCAAAAAATAGAAACTTTTCTTATGGAGGTAGAATGACTAATAAAAAATTAAAAGAATATGATTGTTGGGATGAAGAAAGAACTCCTTAAGAATGGGTAGAAATATGTAAAAAAAGTAATCCTCCACATGCAAAATGTCCAATGTTTGATTAAACAGATAAATACATATGGACAGATGTAGAAGTGTTAGGTTTTGAGAATGGTAAATTCGAAGTGAAAATATTAAGATCAAATAAAATTAAACGAATAGGCAGATTGTCATTATAATTTTATTAAGAAGATCCAATTAAATTTGAATAAAGAGTTGAATTGTGTAAATAAAGATAGAAAAATGCAGATGATGAATTACGATTTTAAAAATATGTAGATTCTTTTCCTGATTCGATGACATCAACTTTATCACTTGAAATGTAGAAAAAGATTGAAGAATATACAGCATTTAGAGAATTACCATATCTTATTAAAGAAGATCCAAGTAAGTTAGCTCCAGGATACCCATTGATTGAAACACTTAAAGATGAATCAAAATTATTAATAATAACAGATCCAGAAATAAGAAGAAAATAAACATCAAATCTTGAAGTGCTCAAAAAAGATTTAGTAAAGTAAGTTTAAAAAGAATATATAATGTTAATGAAAAAAAGTTCAATTCTTAAGGATATGGAAATCAATAGAAATGATATCAAGTGGATATAATTAAGAATCAAAAATAGATTTGAATAAATAAAAAAACCTTATTATGGATTAACTAAATAATTTGGAAAGGATACTAAAATTATAAGTTTTGAATCTTCTGGATAATAAATATTAAAATAAGTGAAAGTTTAGGATAATTGGACTTTTGCTACAATTAGATAGAATATATCTTAATTACATTATTCTAAATTAACTATTGTAGTAAATACTTTGAATGCTTTAACACTTCGATCTTAGTTATATTAGAATTTTCCGCTATTAAATGTAATGCTTAATCATCCATCATTACCAATGGAATTGTCTAAATTTGAAAGTGAGCAAAAGTAGCATCATATTGAAGGAAGATAAACTCTATAAGTATAATGGAGAAGCACTATTGTTGGAAATATCTAAGATAAATTAAAATAAAAATATCGATTTTATTAGACTGAAACTGATGACTATTTGGATAGTGAATTATAAAAATTACTTATTAGAATTGACTATATGTTTAGCTATTATATTAGAGAAAATGTTGTTAAATAGAATTGTTAATCTTGGATTGATTTTCTTAAGAAATTCACTAGTCCTAAAGAAGGAGAATAGTGGAAAATTAATGAATATCCATTATTGATATTGAAACTTGAAGTTAATCTTAATTTCAAGAAGAGTAAAAGGAATGAAAAAAAAAGTAAATAAGAGGAAACATCTTTTATAGAAGAAGATACTAATAGTGGAATTAATTTCTCACCTAATTTTTTATCAATCTAATAAGCTTTGTTAAAACCTATTGATCTTTTATTAGAATCTGTGAATTCATTTAATAGATTAGAAAAAGATTTGGTTCCATTAGTTGATATTGATAGAAAGAAAGAGGTAAAAGGAAGATTGAGAGCTTATGAAATAGAAAATGATTAAGATTAAATGTGGATCAAATGGGCTAAAGATAAGGTCAAGGAATATCTTGAAATTGGTTATAGGAAGCCATATGAAATGTTACAAAAATATAGAGAATTTAGTTTTTTATTAGAAAAATCAGTTCAGAGTGTCTTAAAGAGTCTTTTTGGAGATGTTTCTAAATAACCAATTATAACTTAATTGGATAGAGATAAAATATCAAAAAAATTATCTGATTTTAAAAATGCAAAATTTTAAATAGGAAGTTCATGTTTGGATTAAAAGAATGAATAATTTTTTTAAATAAGTACAATAGAAGGAAAAAAAAAATTAAAAGAAAGAGCGGATGACTTTATTAAAAATATTTTAGAATAATGTTCAGTTATAGTAAAAAATAATATTCTTCGTTTGCGTTAGGAATATAGTGATATGAGTGAAAGATTAATTAAACAACCAAAAAATGAGGCTGAATTAATAGAATTAAAAACATACATAGCAGAACATGAAGTAAATTTGGCGAAAAAGAAGTATGAAATAGATTGTATTTATGATTATTTAACAATGTTTGAAGATATGAATTATAATTTTCCAGAATAAGATTTTGAAGGATTTTGGAATTTATATAGTTGTCCTTCAGAAATTAAGAATCATGTTATAGAAGGTTAAAGAAAGGCTAATTTGTAAGAATAGAAGTTTATGGAAAATTTAGATAATGAGAAAGACAAGTTTTAAGGAGAATTGAAAGAATTAACAGAACTGTTTTCAACTGTATAGAAATTTGATGATTATTCAAGAGTAAAAGATTTTGCAAATGATGTTGTGTCATTAAATGATCGTTTTTAGCATGCTTTAAAAAAAGTGGAATCATTTAATGAGAGAGAGTTATTGTTTAAATAATAACCATCAGTTTATGAAGATTTAAATTAATTGATAAAGGATTTCACAATTTATTATAATTTATGGACTAATGCAATAGAATTTGAGTATGATAGAAGTGATTGGTGTACAGGATCATTTTTGAAATTGAATTTTACTGAAATAGATAATAAAGTAAGAACAAATTAAAGGAATGCAAATTTATTAATAAAGTCTTTTTCTGATGCATAAGATGATGTGGCAGTAGAGGTTGCACGTAAATTGAAAGGTTAAGTGGATGAATTTAAAGAAAGATTATGGTTAATTGAATTATTAACAACTGAGGCAATGAAGACTAAATTGAATATGTGGAAGGATATATGGAAGATAGTTGGAATTGTAGATTAGGAGACAAATGATGATTTATCATTAGATGCCTTAGTATCTCATGGATTAATGAATTATAGAAATGATATAGAAGAAGTATCAAGAAAAGCTGAAAAGTAATGGTAAATAGAGAAGAATTTAAATTCAATATAAGAGAAGTTGAAAGATTAGAAGGTGGAAATGATTCCATATAAAAAGACAGGAACATTTGTATTAAAATCATTAGAGGAAGTTATTTAATGTTTTGATGATTAATTCAATATTTTATTGATGTTGAAAGCATAACCATAAATTAAGGCTGTTTTACATAAAGCATAAGCTTTGGAATAGAAAATAGTGTTAATATAGGATACATTAGATGGATGGATAAAATGTTAACGTGGTTGGATGTATTTGGAACCTATTTTTACATCAGATGATATTAAGAAGAAGATGCCATAAGAAACATTGAAATTTTAAAAGGTTGATTTTCATTGGAGAGCAGTAATGGAATAATTTAGTAAAGAACCTAATCTTTGGGAAGGAGTAGAAAGTGATAAGATGAAAAATGAATTTGATTAAGATAATAAGGCATTAGATTAGATTTAGAAATCTTTAAGTGAATATTTAGAGACAAAACGTAATTCATTTCCTAGATTTTATTTTTTATCAGATGAAGAATTATTAGAAATATTGGCTTAAACAAAGGATCCAGAAACAGTATAGAAACATATTAATAAATGTTTTGAAGCAATTAATTTGTTGGAATTTATAAATGGATAGGAAGTAGTGGCAATGATATCAGCAGAGAAGGAGAAAGTATAGTTTTCAAAAGGAATAAATGTAAATGAAGGTGAAAAGAAGGGAAATGTAGAAAAATGGTTATGTGAAATTGAATCAGTTATGATTGATACTTTAAGAAAGATTATGAAAGCATCACATTTGGATAATGATACAAAGAGAGTAGTTTGGGTAAGAAAATGGCCTGCTTAAATAGTATTGGCAGTTAATATGATAAGATGGACAAGAGGTAGTGAAGCATCTATAAATGACAAAGAAAATTAATAAGGAGGATTATCAGGATTTTTATCATAATTGATTAATGAATTAAGAGATATTGTAGATTTAGTGAGATAAGATTTATCACCTTTAGAGAGATTAACATTAGGTGCTTTAGTGGTTTTAGATGTACATGCTAGAGATGTTATTAGATAATTAGTAAAAATTGGTTGCAATGATATAAATAATTTTTAATGGATGGCT